AAACCAAATCCATCCTCAAATCTGGTCCTCTTCTAGTATTCTACATTTTGGTGACACCAGGTGATTTTGCAACCAAAAATACCAAAGCAGCCGTCAAATCCGTCCAATTCTCTCTACTTGGTCCTAGTCTAAATCACATCATCTTCTTCTGGACTAATTACTGCATCAGCTTCTTGACATATCTCCCTGTATCTACCCTGAACCCTCCAACTCCTGCCCGCCCAACCCATTCCCCAGGCTGCAGCCAGGGTGAGCTCTGAAAAAACTAAAATCCTTCACATTATCTGCCGGGTCCTGTATAGAGGACCAGGCCTCTAGCACTCTCTACTCTTTAGCATAACGCATTTTTCAGTAGTCCTGGGTCTTCTTGTGCACTATGAACCAGTGTCACATAATTACCCGCATGGAAATGCAAAGCATGAGCCTCCTTCTGTCCCCAGCCCATCTGACCATCAAAAGCTCCCTCCAACACCACCCAGGTAATTCTCCAGGCTACTTCCTGAGCTTTCTCAGGAAGCACTACCTCCGCTGTGGCATCGGCATCTTTTCCAAAGCACCTTGTGGCACCTTGGACTTTGCCATCCAAGAAGAATGACACATAAATGCACATCAATGCTGAGTTTAATTTAATTATATATTACCCCACACACACACACGATTGATGACATATAAATTCTCAGTGGTAAGGACTTCTATGCGCTTGTTTACCATTGCATATAAGCACCTATCAGAGTGCCAGGCTTAAGCTAGGTACTCAGTTATTAAAGGGAATAAATAATTGAGTAAATGAATAAATTCCAAATTTGCCCCCCTGAAAGCCTCACATAGACCATAAGAGATATTTGTGTTCTTCCTCTCAGTCGATTTCAGTATTCAGTGATCCTGATGTCTTTTCTACTTGCAAAACATATTTGGACCTCATGGGGTCCCCCCACACACACACAACTGAGGCAATGTTTTCCCAAATGTGGCATATTTTCAGGTACAGGAGGACATTTTCTAAAGAAGTAGGTAACTTGGGCCTGAGCCCCAACACCTAGTGAAGCAGAATCTCCAAAGGGCAACAATTTACTTTTAATAACCGCCTCAGGTGATTCTTACAAACTAGGGGACAAAATTTTTAAATGGGTCATGTTATAGGGTTTTAAAAAGTTGAAGATCTAAAAGAAGAAAAAAACTAGTCCAACAATTACTTCCACACCACCAGGAAGCAGTTTGTCACACTAACACCAGCACTTTGTAATCACTCTCATTCTCTGCCATTTTGGCTTTCTTTCCTGACAATCACTTCTGCTGAACAGACATCTGAATTCCTAGGCCCACCTCCCTAGCAGAAGCATCTGCCCAAAGCAAAGATGTGTCCTTGGGCAGGACACAGAGCATCTGACAAAGTTAACCCCTAGAAAATGCAAAGTATTCAGCAGGTCACAATTTTTATTGTACTGCACGCACACATCTATCTACACGGAAGGGAGTTTCAAGCCTTAGATATGGTTCGTTCACATTTTGGTGGAAATTTAAAAATCCTAAAGATTTCTGTCTATCCAAATATTTGACCACAATTCCCTGAGAACCTTCTACATACAGGATACCTTTCATGCCACAATCATTGATGTGTGACAAAATCCATCAGAGGATCAAAGTTACCACTTTCCACTAAAACAATGTGAGCATTTAGACATTTGCAGAATCCCACAGACTCAGTGAAGCTGGAAGTTTACAAAGTAAGACTTTCTATTCATCTACATGGCCGAGAGAAAGCCCACTGTCTTCACAGCCCAGGAAGTAGGCCAGGAGACTCCATGTTAACCCCAGGCTCGGTCCCTCTCTTTGGAGAGCAGGTCCACCAAGTCCAATCAGATCTGATACACACAGACAGACACACAGCACAAGGGGAAGACTCAGGCTCAGTCCCCCTCTGGACAAGACCCAGCTCCCCTGGGTTGAGAGCACCCTAAGTCCCGGTGTTCCAGGAATGCCCAATCTGCTCCATCACCTGGGCTTTTTCTGGCAGGACAGGCAACCCTGGGTCTCTGTTGGGTTCCCGCCCTTTCCTGTGACTGCTGTTCTGTCCATACAGTATTTGGTGCCCAGGACACATCTGTGAAGCTGAGCTGCATGGTACCAGCCTTGCGCAGCAGGAATGAAAGTACTGAGCGAGTCGTGCGGGCTAGCTCAGAAGTATTTGCTTAAATCAAGCACAATAGGGAAGAAACCCCAGGGCAAAGACCCAAAAGTGAGGATGAATGCAGCACAGACTGGTCCCCTGCCAGGTCAGGGACGTGTGCTGGGAAAAACACATGTGGCCAGGGGAGCCATAAAAATTAAGAGTTCAGGCCAGGCACGGTGGCTCACGCCTGTAATTCTAGCATGCTGGGAGGCCGAGGCAGAAGGATCGCTTGAGGTCAGGAGTTCGAAACCAGCCTGAGCAAGAGCGAGACCCCATCTCTACTAAAAAATAGAAAGAAATTAATTGGCCAACTAAAAATATACACAAAAAATTAGCCGGGCATGGTGGTATGTCTCTGTAGTCCTAGCTACTCGGGGGCTGAGGCAGGAGGATCACTTGAGCCCAGGAGTTTGAGGTTGCTGTGAGCTAGGCTGATGCCATGGCACTCTAGCCCGGGCAACAGAGTTAAGACTCTGTTTCAAAAAAAAAAAAAAAAAAAAAAAACTTAAGAGTTCAAAAATTTGAGTCCATAGGAAACAGAGAACCCTTAAACATTTTTGGAATAAGACGAGATGATTAAAACAATCCTTAAGGTAATATTCCACACGTTTGAATAAGGATTAAGACAGCAATATTAGAAACCAGGGCTCTGAGCAAATTCCTAGTTCTACCATTTACAAGCTACAGGAAGAAGGGCAAACTCGTTAACCTATTACAGGAAGCTGTTTATTACTCCTCTGTAAAGTGGGTATGTTTATCTCATTCAATTGTTGTCAGGGTTAAATGAGATAACATGTCAAGACTGCCAAGATCCCTGGGCACACCACACACACACACACACATACATATACACACACACACACACACACACACACTGGCAGCCACTATCAAAGCAAGTGGCAGCAACAACAAAATCACAGCAGCACAATGAATCTGTGAAGTTACTGTCCAAGGAAGCTGTAGTGTATGCTTAGAATGACACTGTAGCCACAGTACATTCCTAATTGCTTCCTTTTGAGATGCAAAAGCTCCGTAAAACGTGTTTCGCTGAACTGCATGGATCATCTTTAACAATGCTGCTCAAAGCCAATGTCAACAACATTTTAAACTCAGGGCAGCAGAACTGTCCCATAGGACTGTTCTGTTTTATAGGTAATTTTTTTTTATAACACAGAAACTTCATCATAAAAAAATCTCAGCCTTTATGACAAGGCCAAAAAAAAATCCAAAAAAATCCCATCCACTGCCAGCTAAGTTCACTAGAGTCTCTTCTTGGGCATCCATCTCCAATGAGAACCAGGAGTAAAATGAAGGAGATGTTTTTAATGCCTGGACACCCACATTCTTACCAGGCCGCTCAGAGCCAATTCATAATTTAAGACATATTTGTGAACACACAGATACTTGGGCATGTATTATGTGCTAAACCCTCAACTTGGTGATGCAAATCATGTGCCCCCTAAGCAAGTCAGACCAGCTGAAAGGTGACAGTGGGTATGGTGGGTGTCAGGGTGTGAGTGTGTGTGCCCCTTCCAAATTCATAGGCTGGAACTTAAACCCCGATGTCAGAGTGCTAAGAGGCAGTGCCTTCAGGAGGTGATCAGGCCATGACAGTTTTGCCCTCACGAATGGGACTGGTGCCCTTATAAAGGGCTGGAGAGGCCGAGTGCGGTGGCTCATACCTATAATCCTAGCACTCTGGGAGGCCGAGGCGGGAGGATCGCTCAAGGTCAGGAGTTCAAATCCAACCTGAGCAAGAGTTAGACCCCGTCTCTACTAAAAATAGAAAGAAATTAATTGGCCAACTAAAAATATAGAGAAAAAATTACCCGGACATGGTGGTGCATGCCTGTAATCCCAGCTACTTGGGAGGCTGAGGCAGAAGGATCACTTGAGCCCTGGAGTTTGAGGTTGCTGTGAGCTAGGCTGACGCCATGGCACTCTAGCCCGGGTAACAGAGCGAGACACTGTCACAAAAAAAATTAAAAAGGCTGGAGGGAGCTGGCCAGGCTATTTTTGCCCTTCTGTACACTCTGCCATGTGAGGACACAGCATCGAAGGCACCAGCTTGGAAGCAGAGAGCAGCCCTCAGCAGATAACAATGGCAGGGCCTTGATCCCAGACTTCCTAGCCTCCAAAACTGTAAGAAATAAATGTCCACTATTTACAAATTACCCAGTCTCAGGTTATTTTCTTTCAGCAGCAAAGGAACCAAGACAATGCAAATCAACAAATTAGAAAGGAAAAGGCCTGTCAGAGAAAGCTTTATTGACACCAAGAAAAAAATGAAAAGAGGACAGGAAGAAAAGGCAGTGATCCAAAAGGCATACCCAGAAATTTACATGGAAATATCTACGGAGTAAAGGACTCATTTTTAAAGAGGGATAACTAAATGCAGCCAAGGCCATTCTTCCTGCCCACGAACAAGCAACCTTCCAGCAAGCTCTTTCCTTGCCAGCCCAAAGAGGAATCCTACTCCACCTAAGTCCGTACACACTCCCTACCTATTCATTTGCATTAACACAGGAGATGAAATCTGTTTGCTGCTTCTACTGTAAGACATTTTCATCACACCTGCAGTTACCACTTGCACATCAAGAGCATTATAGCATGCTGTTTACATTGCTGTCCACAGAGGATCCCATTTCTTGAGTTGTTAGTGCACTTTACCTAAGATAGGGAAGTCTGCACAACGTTTTAGAATGACTGCACATTCTGACGCTGAGAGTTTTTAGCCTCACTAAACTGGAACACAGTGACACTAAATAAAAGGAGGCATTAGTTTACTTAAAATCCACCCACAACTTTAAAATGTCATTTGCCACCAAACCTGGATTCTTCGGATGCTGACGATTGCCTCTGACACCCTCTCGATGGCAGAGGGAAAGAAGAGGGTGACCGTCAACCGCACAGCCCCATACAGCGTCAATGCCACAAACACCCGGCTGGCTGTGATCACGTTGCCAAGGAGCACGTAGCAGGTAAAGGTCACAAACACGATAATTTTGCTTGAGCTGAAAAATGATGCGAAATTCATCCCTCTGAGGTAGGAACTGCTCAGCACCTTGGAAATTTCCTTTCTGGAAAAGAGAGTACAGTACAGGTTTTTAAAGGGAAGTGTCAGGATCAAAGCCCTGACTTCAAGTGCCTGATGCTTCTGGCCCCTTTCTAGGTAGGGACATAGATTAAGATAAACTGTCTCTCACATTGTAAAAGTATTTGACAGCTCACCCCAGGGAACAACTTCAATTCAAAGAACAACAGAACAGTGAATAACCACTTCACTCATCCTAGGAAATGATGCTTAATGTCACGGTTTGACATTTGGGGTGAATCAGACTGGGTTTGAACAAGCATTCAAACAGATTCATTCGACAAGCACTGGCAGACACAAGTGCTATGCCAGGCAGGTCATTGATAAATAAGAAACAGCCTGTCCCCTCCAGGAGGAGCTCATGGGAGAAGAGAACAAGCAACTCCAAAACTGTGAGACCCCAAGACCCAAACATCAGTGGCTGGTACAGTGTCCCAAGGGATCACAGAGAAGAGGTGGGTAACTCAAAGTGGTAGAGTCAGGGAGGGTCACGAGCAGGGAGGGCACAGAAGAATGAAGGAAAGAGCACACCTGAAACACGAGGAAGGACATCTGCAAAGGTGAGAGTTGGCCAGGTGCTACCAGGGAATTATAAGTAGTACCATGCACTGGAGTACAAAAACTAACCAAATATTTAACCCGAAAGCCAAAATAACGAAAATTCTAAAAACTTAAAGCAAACAAAAAGGAATAATATTACCATGGCTGTCTAGAATGAATAATACTGATTTAAATAGCTTGGCCTAATATAGGCACAACCAATCTCTATAATGATCACATTTGGCTACATTAACATTAATCAAAATCTCTAGGACTTTGAGTGGCCAAGGCGGGAGAATGGATCGCTTGAGATCAGGAGTTTAAGACCAGCCTGAGCAAAAGACCATGTCTTTAAGAAACATAGAAACAATTAGCTGGGTGCTGCATGCCTGTAGTCCCAGCTACTCAGGAGGCTCAGGGTAGAGGATCACTTGAGCCCCCACAAGCTGTGAGCTATGATGATGCCACGCACTCTAGCCAGGGCAACAGAGCAAGATCCTAGCTCCAGAAAAAAAAAAAAAAAAAAGATGGTTTAGAAATTAGAATATGCCATTTGAAACCAGCCTGAGCAAGAGCGAGACCCTATCTCTACTAAAAATAGAAAGAAATTAATTGGCCAACTAAAAAAAAAACATAAATATATATATATATATATATAAATAAAAAACTAGCCGGGCATGGTGGCACATGCTTGTAGTCCCAGCTACTCGGGAGGCTGAGGCAAGAGGATCGCTTGAGCCCAGGAGTTTCAGGTTGCTGTTAGCCAGATTGACGCCATGTCACTCTAGCCCGGGTAACAGAGTGAGACTCTGTCACAAGAAAAAAAAAGAATATTCCTAACTTCTTAAAATCATTGCTTGTTTTGGGGATTTGGGAAAATCAGAAACATCTGGACTTTCGTTTATATATTAATAAAGAAGCACATATACTTTCTGCTGTAAGAACATGGTAAATGTAAGACCAGGTTAAAATGATGTCCTGTGGCATTCTATTTAACCCTACTGTCACATGCAGGGGTAGGGTGGACTGTATTGAAGTTCACCTAAGGGGTGAAAACACAGTAAGACTTCTAAAACCATTCAGTAAAAACAGCAAGCAGATAAGTACAATAACAGGGTGTAATGTATACAAAAACGTACCTTCTCAAATTGGCAATAAGGTCTGCAAATGACTTTTCCCAAGCATACATTTTGATTATTCTTATGCCAGTTATAACTTCATTCATGGTCCTGATCCTGGCGTCCGTGAAAGTTGCAGTTTTACTCCTACCAGGCACAGACATGGGACATGAGCCACAGCAATCACAGCGCAACTTGCCTTTTCAGCAATAGGCACAAGCAGAGACCGCAGACCAAATGATTCCCTACAGCTCTTTTGCTCCAACAACACGGACAGTTCCTACTCAAAACACAAATGGCAGACGACTCCAATTAAGAAGTCAACCATTTATCCCAACTCAGTGAGTGGCTTGGAGAACTTGCAGTAACTGCTGAGGAAGACGTGAAAATGAGTCAGATACCATCTGTCCCCACAAGGAGCTCACAGGTGGTCGGGGAAGGCAGAAAGGCCCCCAAATCTAACCATAATACAGTTGGCTGGGGTGGAATAAAATGGGCATAAAGAAAGGGCTGCTAGGTGGCTCACGCCTATAATCCTAGCACTCTGGGAGGCCAAGCCGGGCGGATTGCTCGACGTCAGGAGTTCGAAACCCGCCTGAGCAAGAGCAAGACCCCGTCTCTACTATAAATAGAAAGAAATTAATTGGCCAACTAATATATATAGACAAAAAAATTAGCCGGGCATGGTGGCGCATGCCTGTAGCTTCAGAGTATGGAGAGCATGTGAACAGGGCCCCAAAGATAAGGTATGTTTCTCCAAGTGGCAAACAGGAGGAAAGAAATTCCAAATAGAGAAAACACTATTGTCTACCACTGGGATGTTAAAAAAAAAAAAAAAAAAAAAAAAAGGTATAATATCATTTATATAAAAAGACAATATGCTTGAAACTCAAGTCAACAGTTTGAGTGATGAACTATTCGCCTATCATTTAAAAAAAATTAATTATAAAAGAGAACTTAGCAATATAGTCAAGAGTTAACGTGGAAAACTTTTCACAGGGAAATATTTTCTCAAAATGAATTAGCAATGTCACGAAATTTTTTAGAAAATGCTTCCAAAGCTAGAGGTTTTTCACATAGGAATTAGGCCCCATGTTTCTACTGGATTAAGTATAGCGCACAAAGGAAGCATATGGTGAATGAGAATCACCCATAAGTGTAACCCACTTTTCATGTTCATATGTATCTCTTAAAAGAAAAACTTCCAATGATAATTTTTGCAAGGACACAAATGGGTATATATTTTTGTGAACCTTCCAATTCTTGGCAATTAAGCTTAATTTATGATGTTAGTAATTATACCACATAAGTACATTTTCAGTTCAATTTCTTTTTATATTTTTTCCTCTACCCCTTTCTTTTGTTTTACCACTTGTCTTAATCTCTTACCTAAATATAATTGGAATAAAGTAACACTAAAAGTATGTTAACTGCCAATGTGCAATGACACTTGTAAAAACTTGCAAGCACAAAGGAGTGGCATGAGAAAAATGAATGTGTGGTCAGATACATATCATAATTTTTTCAACGGGTCTGTTCAAGTTGACAATTATAAAAATTGAAAATAGAACTTTAAAAAGTTAGTTGTAAAAATGTCTATTTCAAGTATCTGTTTCTGAGAGCTTATGCAGATAGGAGAAAAACAGTTTTGAACAATGATAATGACATTATCCATTGCTAGTCCAAAATTCTTCTTATAGCAGGTATCATCTGCAAATGCCCAAGAAGATATATTATCTATCTTAAAAACTATTATGAAGATAGAAAGTTTAAAGACTTTGAGACATAAAGACTATATTTCAGAAATCATTTTATCTATATATACATGAGATATATACATTTTAGAAAATGTCTATAGTATATTTAGATATACATGTGAATTTTAAAACATAACCATGTATTAGAGAGCATATACATGTAATTCATTTAAGTTATGCTGAAAACTTTTAGGGGGTAGGGAAAATACAAAAGGAAATAGACTTTAAAAAAATTAGCAGATACTTACAATATGCAAAAGTTTTAACACATCCACGAACCTGTAAAAAAACAGCAATGAAAAAAATGTTTTAAATGAGCCAATGGGTGAAAAAGCAATCTTCTGAATTGTAAACTAGATACCTACACTTTCTCTGAGCTCATGATCTCCTTGGCAATATGATGAACTTTACTTTTCATTCCAATATCTTCATCCTGTGGGTAAGAGTACATTTAAAAAGCATGAACTCAAAAAGGATAATGAAGATAAGATAGGAGCTAGTCAGACATGAATTTTAACTCTCATATATGTAAGTTTCTTATTAGCACACAATTCATACTGTATAATGTCTCAAATGGCAAGCGTGGAGACTTAAGTGAGGGATAAACCATAATACAGGAGTAGCTGAGAACAATCCTCACTGACATTAGCTGGATTGATGGAGGGCCCCGAGCACGGCCATCAGTGGTTAAAAACCGAAGAGTCATAAACAGAAAAGTCTGCAGGGGAAATGACCCCTACAGATATCACTGAAGAATAGTCTTTTGGGTGCACATAAGTAATTTAAGACTTCTTAGCGAATATCCAATAGGAATGTGCAGGAGAACTTCACCCTGAGTAAGCCGGGGTTTTTTTTTTTTTTTTTTTTTGAGACAGAGTCTCGCTTTGTTGTCCAGGCTAGAGTGAGTGCCGTGGCGTCAGCCTAGCTCACAGCCCGGCCTTTTTTTTTTTTTTTTTTTTTACATCCCAGTGGTAGACAATAGTGTTTTCTCTATTTGGAATTTCTTTCCTCCTGTTTGCCACTTGGAGAAACATACCTTATCTTGGGGCCCTGTTCAAATGCTGTCCATACTCTGAAGCTTTCTGTCCTCTATTCTTTTCCAATGGAATTAGCAGCCCTTTCTTTTTTTTTTTTTTTTTGAGACAGAGTCTGCTTGTTGCCCAGACTAGAATGAGTGCCGTGGCGTCAGCCTAGCTCACAGCAACCTGAAACTCCCGGGCTCAAGCGATCCTCTGCCTCAGCCTCCCGAGTAGCTGGACTACAGGCATGCGCCACCATGCCCGGCTAATTTTTTTGTCTATATTATTTATAGTTGGCCAATTAATTTCTTTCTATTTATAGTAGAGACGGGGTCTTGCTCTTGCTCAGGCGGGTTTTCGAACTCCTGACGTCGAGCAATCCGCCTGGCTCGGCCTCCAGAGTGCTAGGATTATAGGCGTGAGCCACCTAGCAGCCTTTCTTTATGCCCATTTTATTCCACCCCAGCCAACTGTATTATGGTTAGATTTGAGGGCCTTTCCCTTCCCGACCACCTGTGAGCTCCTTGTGGGGACAGATGGTATCTGACTCATTTTCTGTCTTCCTCAGCAGTTACTGCAAGTCTCCAAACCACTCACTGAGTTGGGATAAATGGTTGCTTCTTTTTTTTTTGGAGCATGAAGATAAAGTGACTTCTTAATTGAAGTCGTCTGCCATTTGTGTTTGAGTAGGAACTGTCCATGTTGTTGGAGCAAAAGAGCTGTAGGAATCATTTGGTCTGCGGTCTCTGCTGTGCCTATTGCCGAAAGGCAAGTTGCGCTGTGATTGCTGTGCTCATGTCCCAGTCTGTGCCCCGTAGGAGTAAAACTGCAACTTTCACGGACGCCAGATCAGGACCATGAATGAAGTTATAACTGGCATAAGAATAATCAAAATGTATGCTTGGAAAGTCATTTGCAGACCTTATTGCCAATTTGAGAAGGTACGTTTTTGTATACATTACACCCTGTTATTGTACTATCTGCTGCTGTTTTTTACTGAATGGTTTTAGAAGTCTTACTGTGTTTTCACCCCTTAGGTGAACTTCAATACAGTCCACCCTACCCCCTGCATGTGACAGTAGGGTTAAAGTAGAATGCCACAGGACATCATTTTAACCTGGTCTTCCATTTACCATGTTCTTACAGCAGAAAGTATATGTGCTTCTTTATTAATATTAAACGAAAGTCAGATGTTCTGATTTTCCCAAATCCCCAAACAAGCAATGATTTTAAGAAGTTAGGAATATTCTTTTTTTTTCTTGTGACAG